GGGTTTTGTTTTGATGCCTGGGCAAATTTTTTTATTATTGGGGTTTTTTTTTTTCCCCCCCCCCCGGTTTTTTTGTGGCAAAATCCTTTTGCCCTATTTTTTTTTTCCCCCCCCCCCCCCCCCCCAAAGTCAGCACAGTCTCCGATAGGGTGCCTCGAATAGCCTGTCCACTTCCATATACTCAACGTGGCTTCTTGAATGGTGGCGCTGATTGACCTCAGGGCATCGAAAGGCAGGAAAGGCAGGAATCCGTATCACCATTCCTTCTGTGCGCTGTCGTATCAGCCTGCTTCCACTCTTCGATACCTTCGGCGGGTCGGAGAGAATTGACCACGAACCCCAGTCCTTTCTCACTGCTTTTTTTTTCTTTTTTTGTTAGATCCATGCCGCTATCTTCCCTGCAAGCTTTGCTAATATGCTTCCGTACCTTACAGAGCTCTGTTCGACTCGCCTGGCTCCATCATTTCTTTTTCTCTGTGGAATATTTCCTGTTCGTCTTCCAGGGATGCCGTCTGTTGTCTCTGCCCACTATATCTGTCGCGACATGGTCTCGTGCACTTCATCTTGGGCATCAGCCATGTCAGTCCTGCACTGTTTGTCCATCGAGGTCTTTTTAATAGAATTGCTACCCCGTTTCCAGATGGGCTTTCTCTGAATTATTCCTCTTTCTCTCTCTCTATATCTCACTTTCGCACCGAGATATTATAGACACTGTTCAATTATTCTTGTGATACTTGCTGTGGTGTACCAGGGTACTGTGTCAATTCTTCTTCGACTACATGCAAATGAGTTAGCCAGGTCTTCGTTTCACTATCATTATCATCATCACCTTCCTCGGAGACTCGCTGTATACTGGCTTTTTTTTTTCTTCTCTCTATATTTTTTTTTACCCCTTCTTCTTCTTCTTCTTCTTCTTCTTCTATCTGTTTGAAGGATCAACGTGAGCCGAAAAAGAATCAAGTGGCATTCCGACTCAGTGAGGTATCGATCATGAGCAGCTTTGCAAGGCGCAACGAAGGGAATGATGCCTACCTCATGAATCATCAAATGGCAATGCCTGGCTCGTACGGTCAGCAAGAGAGCCATGACTTCAACACGCATGGATCTGGTTCATATCATTTCCCTCAACATTCTTTCAACCCATATGGGTCTCAGTTTGGCCATCCCTACGGTCCACAGTCGAGTCTGTCTCCGGGGTTGCAGCATTTGCAGTATACGTCGGAACATTCGATTCCATCGATGACAACCCCGGATGACCCCCGGCTGCACCATCCGCCGCAGTTCATGTCCCAGTCGCGCTACCTTCAAGGGCCGAGGTACCTGCCCCGCGACCCGCTGGGTGAAACCGAGATTGAAAGCCAGGAGTCTCATAACGAGGCTACGTTGCTGTCAGAGGCTGTAGTTCCCGCACTTAGCGGCTTCCCTGATGTAAAGGAGTTTGATCAATTGATGCAGAAGTGGGTGATTCGTGATCAACCAGGATGGACTCGATGCTAATATCTCATTCTAGCTATGTTGAGGACCTGTCCATCAAGAAGCAAGATAAAGCGTTGATCTATGCTAGGAGGGCCCGTAACATCAGAACTGTGTTGATTGACCCCAAAGATACGGCGGTGGAGTCTGCTCAATTTCGGTATGGGTCTCTTTGGTTCAATCAATTACCTGCCTTGCTAAACAAATCAGGTTTTGGGTCAAAAAGATGTTCAAGCTCCAAGCTGTGGGATCTGATGTAAGTCTCGCCTGTCCCGGTACATATGATCTCAATCGATGCTGACGAGTGATTTGTTGCGATGTAAAGCATAGGAAGATGATCTGTCACGAGGGCAAGCCGGTTGCGATTCGGGAAAAATTGTTCAAGATCCTCACCAAGGCTCATCAGCAATGCCAGCATGGTGGCCGAGACAAGACATCTGCTCAGGTCCGACGGATATATTCATGGTGGGAAAATCCGTGCCGTACTATATATTATGTACATAACATGTCTGATGTACAGCCACTGACTATCTCATTAGGGTTCCCAAGGAACTGATCTCCCGCTTCGTCAAGATCTGCCCAACCTGTCAGGTGCGCCGTGGGGGTTCTCGATTGACGCCGCCTAATTCGCGAAGAAGCTCCCCCAGACTGGAGATGGTCTCTCGATCCCCCAAACTTCCGTCGCCGCCAATCTCGCGACGAGAATCGACTTTTGCCGGTCAACTTCCCCTTGACAGGACGCAAGCAGATTATTTTGGTCATTTACATGGTCATGGTGGCTGGCTAGATAGTCATCAAAATGTGCAAAGTCGCTCGAATCTAGGTAACGGAGTTCGCTCGTTCCAGGGTTCCATGGGCAATCTTTCGCACTCAATTGCTGGTACCTTGGATTCCTTCTCCGCCGACCTATCCATTCCTCCGTCCCAATTGAGTTATACAACGGGATATGTCCCGCACGGGGCTGCACCTCAGCGAGAGTATTGATTGGCCTTTCTGGTCGACTTGTGTGGATGTTGCTTTTTGAGTATTATCAGGGTACACTAAGTGTGTGCTCTCTAAAAGTATACCTTGCCAGGAGTCTCTAGATATTTTTGTGCTTCCTTGTGAACGACAAGTCTGATGAGTGGCACACACGGACAGGGCAAGAAGTTGATTCCCATCCGCTACGGGGTTTTGAGTGACGCCAATATTGAATGGAGGGAAGGGAGGAAGGGATCCGGAAAAAAAAAGGAAGAACATGACAAGAGGGAAAAAAAAACACAAAAATACGCTGAATAATCGAACGACTGAATTCTGAATTTTGCATTGTACAACAGTAGACCAACGACCGAAAATTACAGAAGTTTTGGCGAGAGGACCTCTTTGATCGGGATATACAACAATCAGATATGCACATGGTCCGCGATCGTATTCGATATTCGAATGTTCAGTAGCCAATTGCGGTATAATTGGAGCCTCGTGTGACCATTTCTAAATGCATACAGATTTGGCGACATGAAAACATCAATTCATAGCTCCCAGCGTCGGCGCTTGAGGGGGGTTGCACGGGTTCAAGGCACTCGGTGCTTGTGAGATAGGCGACCACGGTGTTCCAGGCAAATATAGGACCGAGTGGATCAGATTCGAAACTCCATCTCCGAACCTTTAGAAGATCATCAATTCCTCAACTCATTCAAACAGTAGACAGGTTTTTAAACAGGAAGCGAGAACTTCTTGCCCTTCAAAACCCTGGGAGAAAAAAGCGCATAGGTCAGTGTCCGCATCATACGTCTGTTTTTTTTGTTTCTTTGAGCGAATTGAGCTTACTTGTTGTAGTAAATGTAAAAGAAATCGGAGTAAAGCAAAGTTTGGATGATTCCGGCGATAATGCTCACAGGCTGGAAGGAACGTTGGAAGGAGGCTTCGGTAAAATAGCGGAAAATCCAGTTGGGGATGTAGAGTGCCCTATATAGTCCCAGAGCAAACAGATAGTGGGTGGTGATGGTATCCGCTTCCCCGGTTCGTTGCAGCATGAATAATTGTGGCAATATAGCAACCGACTCCAACCAAATGGAAAAAGTCCAGAGTATCTACATGACGTTAGTCCCGTTCTTTCTACACCGTAGACAGCATGGAACCAACCTCGGAGATGCGATAATCGCGCGGAAACAGAATCGCGAGCACCGCGCTAATTCCGAGGAGGTATTGAACTTTGAAAGTATCGATATTGGGATCATGTGTGGGTTTGTAGTCGTTGAGCATGAGGTAGATGACGTAGGCCGAGGAACCGATAAACAGAAGCTTGAACGTAGTGAGGTACAGGGAGTCGGTGAACGTCCAGAAAAGATCTATAAGGCGCATGAGTGATTATGATCAACATAAAGCTGACGGTGACGTCGAAACCTACCAAGATACCGAGTGACAAAAACGAGTAGGTATAGCACCTGCGATTTGAACGACAACCCGGAACAACTCTGCGACGCGCCATTAGTTGCAAGTCATATGTGGCCTTATAGATAGCAAAACATACGCTTGACGTCTTCATCTTCTGCAGAAGCATGAAGATCGACGCCAAATGGGAGAAGTCGGCTTCAATCGTTAGTATATCGCGTTGGTTTTCCATTAGTTTTCATGCCATACCTAATAACCTGAAGATATTCATTGTGCCGAAGACGGATCTGAGTTAATAGTGAATAGTGACCTAAGCCAGGAGAGAGAGGGAGAAAGAAAAGAGAGGAAAGGAGAGAGGGAGACGAGTCTGAGAATTGGGAGACTCGACCAAAATAGCTGAGTTGTTGACACGAAGGCAAAAAATGGAAGGGGAACTTCGAATTACTTGCAGATCAGGTACAATACGTGTATGGTATGGGTATGTATTACACAGGACAGCGAGGAAGGCATGGAGGTACATGGAGGTACCTCTTGGCAAGGCCTTTCGAAGCGGCAAAATAAGTATATATTTGTACCTACAGCGAGGAGGCGGCATCTTAAGTATCTACACTATTTCCCTACATATTTATAGAGCGCCGAAATGCATAATGTCGTCAAGTCGTCATATTGATACAATCATAATCGCTACCTAGACCTGCCCAATACCTTGATAGTAAAACGCCGAGATATAGTGACGTTGTAGGGCAAACTTACATTTGCCTCGCTAGAACAAGTTTCCACCCCCAATGCTCTCATCGGCCATTCGCTGGAGATGACCTTCAGCTAGCTCGCTCTTAAGAGCACATATTGAGCTTTCACGATCGAGTCGATCCCAGTCTCGAAGTTCCGCTCGCTTGGACCTCTGTGTCTCTGCGATCTGCTCAAGTAGTTTTTCTTTGTCGACATCAAGCTGAGCTAACCGCTTCTCCACAGCAGGATCTAGAAGCGACGGAAGACTCCGACCTTCCGGCATGATAGTACATAGCCCCGCAAGATGGTTGATCCCCCTCTGAGCCAATGGTTGAGTCACACATGGAGTGCCGGGTTGCCGGGAAGTTGGATGTCGGTAACTGCCACCTAGTACCGGAGATGAGAAAGAAGCGCGAGGACCTGCTGGTGGAGCTTGCGAAGGTGCAACAGGCCCGCGACGTACCGGCGGTGACCCCGTCCAAGCTTCACGTGGGCCAGGTCCGCGACGAGGACGAGTCGGCGCGGATAGTAAAGAGACATGCGGAGGACCACGATGTTGGTTAGATGGCGGCCTAGGTCCCTGATAAGGTCCTGATGGCGGGAGTGGAAGTGGGCTTGCACTGTGATTTTTCGGTTGAGTCGGGATGTTGCCACCAACCCTGGTCCCACTTGTCTGGGATTCTCTCTCTGGAATCGAAAAAGGCGAAGGATTGCCAATTGGTGCTCGGTCCTCATGATCTGGGCGTTGCTGTGTGTGAAAAGGCTCCGTATCGTAGGTCTGATCCCGGTGCGGAGATCGACCTTGGGGTTTCGACGACCGTTGCAAGGGTACCGGGGAGCGAATCGGCGACCGACTACGAGCTTTTTCGGGAGCCACAACAGGCTTTTCTATAGCCGACGATGAAAGTCGAGATATCAGGGCGGGTTGTGAGGCCAAGGCTTGTGCAGGTGAAACATCTCGTTTCGCCACATCACGAGAGTGGCCTCGATGCGATACATGAATTGGGCTCTGTGGCAACAAGCCTTCTGGCTGTGCTCTCGGAGAGGAAGCTCGGGGGGGTTTGTCAATATTCAAGACAGCAGAACCATCTCGTCTCGCGGATCGGAAGACTTGGCTTCCAGGGGTTGTATCGCGCATTCGTCTAGGGCTGTTGCGAGCACGGGATGCGTTGCGTGATCTGCCATCACTGTAGGGCGATTTCGAGCGCCATTTTTGGGGCGGTGATCTGATCCTGTCATCTCTTCTGGGCGAGAATCTTCTTGGTGGAGATCGTCGTCTTTCGTAGGGGGGTGGGCCAAAGTTTCTCCCCGGAGGAGTACGTGAGCGTCGCCGGTATGGCGGTGGTGACCGACTCCGTACGCGCCCGTACCCTCTATTTGCTGACGGTACCCAAGTGTCGGCTCGTGGTCGAGGAGGGCTTCGGTTTCGTGGTGGCGAACGCCGGTGACGAATTTCATACCCCCGGGAAGGGGAACGACCGTTTCTCTCGGCGGGACGATAGCTTTCTCCACCTCTTCGTTCATCAAATCTAGGGAAATACTTAGAAACTTTCTTTCAAAACGTTTGGATACGCCAACGAACCTTCTGCGATCCCAGTCCATTCTGGCACGGAGAATATGGATATTAGAGGAGGTGAGATGAGGTTCAAAGTATTCTGGGTTCTCCGTCTCCTGGGGAGAAGGGTGAAAGTAGATAGATAGTATAAGGAATTGAAGGGTCGAATCGCGGTAGATGGAAGGACCAAGCTAAACCCCTTTTAGAATCAGTTCCCGTGACTGGGGCTCGATATATGTACATACATACCAAAACTACGCAAGATGCTTGGAATACTATTTATATAAATCTACAAAGTACTCCCCTTGAAGTCGCATAGATTAATCAATAAGAATAAGAAATTTCATTCAGAACTAACCATACATTAAAGGCTAGAAACTTTCCTTGCAACCTAGAGTATGAACCAAAGCAGCCAAACTCCAATGCTCATCATGAAAAGAAGCACACCCGGGAACCCCTAAAGAAAAAAAATAGAAAATCACAGTAAAAGAAGCATCCTTAATGCTTTCCCCGTCTCTCCTCTTCCTTTCGGAATCTTTTGCGGTGCTCCTGTGCAATCATATCACTCAAGTCCTCCTGGAAACCCCAGTTCGGTGGATTCTGCTGCTGCCTCTGTGACTCGTACATGCTCTGGAGGCTCTCTTTGCTGAGACCATCGCCAGATTGAATTGCATCCAAGTTGACAGACACTTCAACATCTCCAGGCTTCTTGCGTTTCCGACTTTGGTCATCTGCACCAAGAACAGGAGGCTTGCCTGTTGTTCCGCTAAGGTCATATGCCCTATCACCCCCGAAAAAGCCTTCCACGTTCGTTTGTTTCTCGGGTATGACTTGATAAGCACTCCGAGGGTGAATAGATTCCTCGGTATCGGTACCACGATGGTGTTTGCGCACATCAAACTCTCCGGAAACATTCTCGGCGCCAACAAATTCAGATGGGACTGCCGATTCGATTCCACTAGCGGTTTCCATGCCACTAGGAGAATGAGCCCCTGCACCCACGCCACCTTCGTCACTTTCTTCTTCTTCGTGTTCATCGTCGTCCTCCTCGGCTTCACTCTCCTCCTCTGACTCCTCTGATTCGTGTAATTCTCCCCAAAGCTCTTTTTCAACCGGCTCTCCTTGTTGGGCATGTTGTTGAGGCTGTAAAACGCCGAAGATATCACCTCCGAATAGGGGGCGGTTGTGTTCATCGACAGGTGGCTTTCCATAACCCCCAGGCTGATAGCCCCACGACGCGCCGGGTGGAGGCGGCGCATTGAGGCCGGGGATCTTCAGCGCTGGGTAGGAAGACGGGGGACCATGTCGCTGCTGGTTGACAAGCCACGGGGGAGGGCCTCCCGGGGTCATACCAAGAGCGTCCTTTAACTCATCGCTCAATTCACCAGGTCGGAGATGCTTGAGATTGGTCTCGTATTCTTTGCCCTCATAATAGATTTCACCGTAACGAGTCAGTTCTGGCTTGGTTTGGAAACGGAAAAATGCCTCGTAAAGCTTCTGGTAATCGATGTCCAGCTTGCCCATCTTTGGCTGTACTCTTTCCCGTTGCTTCTGCTTCAAACTTGACTGCTCCTGCTTCTCTAAAGCGGCGTCACGCATTTCAGATATTCCCGTCTCCTGTATGAATTTTGGGAGAGCGAACGGTGCCTTCTCCACTCCCCGTTTGGATGAGAGATACTCTCGTTTGAGCGACCAGTGGGAGGGTACCGGAACCACATTGCGATGGGCTTTAATGTGAACGAGGAGTCGAGGATCAGAGGCAGATGTATCTGTCCATTCCACAATCTCAGGCTTTCGTACCATTGCTTTGAGTTCAGCAACGGATAGCTTGTTCATTTCCTTCCGCTTCTTTTTGGAGATCTTGGGCTCGCTATCTTGCTCTTCGTCGGGTATTTCATCACCATCAAAGAAGACCTCGGGTTTATCAGCCTCCTTCGATGAATTGTCGTTCACTGTCTCGTCGAATTTTCCGGCAACACCTTTGTACATTTCCCATAGCGGATCGGTTGGGTCAGGAAGCAGGTCAGTGTTGGTATCAGCTGGTGCATCTTGAGCAGTAGCCACTGGCGAAGATGACAGTTCTCGTGCGATGGTGTTGTCAATGGAATTTGTAGTCTTTGTAGCAGTGTTAGCATTGTATCGGCCACGGCTGAGAGGTTTCGAGGGATATATATGTCTTACCTCGGCTTTCTGGGCCTTTTTCTTGGCTCTTCTGAGCTGGTTCTTGCTCAATTTCATGGTCGCTGGAAGGTTTGGCAACCGCTCAATTAACGCGGTGCCGAGAATTAACGCGGTGCCAAGCGGAGAATATTCCGGAGAGACGTGGTACTGGCAGCTTGGTTCAAGTGCGTGCAAGGGATAAACTCAGCTAGCGAAAGACAATGGAGTGGGGGACAAGGTTGAAAACAAAATAGTTATATGGCATCTCAATTGCCATCACGTGCATTCACCCGATGCCTTACCGCCTATATCTTTCTACACTAGGTACAAATCTCACGTGGTCGGAGAGGTTTTGTCATTTGTTACGCAATTCATGACCTAGTTAACTAACTATACTTTATTATATAGTTAATATATGTTTAGTCCAGCTACTTGTATAGAATATTCAGTATTGTGCTAATAACCTAGTAGACACTAAAAAAAGGTAAAAAAAAAAGATAATATTGTACAAAATGGGGGGAACAAGCTCTATCAGCAAAGATAGCAAATAAGTTCCTAAACAATCCTCACTTAAAGCAAAGGATCTACATAGATTTGCGAAGCTGTAGTTCACTAGCCCAGCCACATCATAGAAACATAATCCGATTATAGAATGTATGCCAGTATTGATGTGAATGGTGCAATGTTGAGCTTAGCAGAGCCCTGGAAGTTAAGCAGACAGTCTACTTCTTCTTCTTTGCGGATCTTGATTCTGTTCGAGTCTTAGATTTTGATCATGTCAAGTAACCATTAGGTGTAGGAGCAAATTACCTGCAGCAGTTCGCTTCTTCTTCGGCCGGCCCTTCCCTCGCAATTTGGCACTATGAATCAAATGTTTAGTAGGAGTGTATGTGACATGGGACAACAATTCTTACATCTGAATAGCTTCTTCTCTGTCATCTTCGGCTTCGTCAAATGTTGTCAATCCAAGAGGCTTATAAGTGTTTTGTAAATCTTGGAAAGACACAGTCTGCTTAGGATACCAGGCTGCAAGCGCTGGTCCACGCAACCGCTGTCTCAAGATCTTGTTTCCAAGTCGAAGCCGTTGCGGGTTGAAATTAAGAGAGAATATGCGGCATTGGGTCTAGAGGAATTGTCAGTTAGTGAATGTCGGCACAGCGCAATGAAAAGGTGGATGAACCTTAACTAGATCCAAGATCCGACTTGACGCCATTTTGCTTTCTCAAAGGTTCAGAACAATCATATGCAAGAAGAAGGGTGAAGCAGCTGTTCACAGCGACTTGGTAGACAGGTGTCATTGAACTTCGGTAGCAACAGAAAGTTTGACCGGTGGTCATGTGACCTCCCGAAGTATACCGCCTACATATCATCCATGTTTTTACCTCCAGGCGCAAGAGGAAAACTAGACTAAGACTGAACAGGGGCTACAACAGTCGATATGTCTCAAGCCAAAGAGATAGAAAATCCAGCAATCTTAAAAAGGCCAGTGGTAGATCTTAAAAGATCATCATCTGTCTTTGGGTCAGATGGCACACAAAACTCACAAAAGCGGCCTAAGGTGAATACCATGTTCTCATCCCACTGAGCGAATTCCTGTTGATTCGAGTGACCTTCTAACATCTACTTGCATAAAGGTTCAACCATCAAGTCGGCCATCGGATACTAAGTCCTCCTCTATTATTGTCAGTCACAGCATGGGCAAGTCCAGCAACCATTCTCGTATACTTCTTCTACAACGCCTTGTTCGAGAAATATCAACCGATTCTGATCTCGCTGGTGTTGACTCGGAGATTTTGGATGCAATTTCGAGGCTGGATGACACGTTTCGTACGACGAAGAGTCAATTGCCTTCCAAAGATCCTTCCATAGCTGGTGAGGTCCCAATATCACGCCACCCAGATCACAGTCCCAAGTCGGTCAATGGCTCGTTTGGCCTTGAGCTCCCCCCTATCATGGATCACAAGCTTGAACTTGCTGTCTTTACCCATCCAGCTCTTAGCAACAATAAAAACACGACCTACGACCGACTCGAGATCCTAGGCGATGCATACATTGAGCTGATTGCAACCAAACTCGTCTGGGAGAGATTTCCAGATTTACCAGCAGGTCGGATATCACAGATTCGGGAGATGCTTGTTAAGAATGAGACACTTTCGGGCTTCGCAGAAAGCTTTGGTTTGGACCGCAGGGTTGCTGTGCCGCCAAACTACAACACCCCATCAAAGCGATGGACCAAAACAAAAGGCGACGTATTCGAAGCCTACGTCGCGGCAATCATACTATCCGATCCTGTCTCTGGCTATGAAGTAGCCGAGCATTGGCTAGCAGGTTTATGGGTGCCAATTCTCAAGAACTTGGGACATCAGAAAGGGGAGTTACGCTCCAAGGAGGCTCTTGCTAAGAAAATTATGGGGAAAAGAGTCAAGCTTGAATACATAGAGGAGCGTCCATCAATTCAGCAGAAGGGCGGTACACAAAATTTCTTCGTCGCGTTATATCTCACTGGGTGGGGATGGGACAAAAGGTTTCTGGGTTCCGGTCAGGGTTTGAGTAAAGCAGCTGCAGGTGACGAAGCAGCGAAAAAGACGTTGCTGAACACGCCTCTGATTCTTGAGATCATATCAGCGAAAGAGTCATGGGAGTCTAACTCTTAAAATCTTGGTCATATTTCACGATTGATCGGGTCGGTTTCTTCAAGTTACTAGATCTCGCATTCCATTTCTTACTCAATAAAATAAAATAGCACCCGATGAGTCCACCCTTGCACTGTGCAGCTTAAAGACGTTCCTAGAACCCCATTGGCTTCGGCGGAGAATATGTAAATCCGAGATTGATTCTCCCCAAGGAATCAATCCTTCTCACCTCTATCCGTCTCTTGACCTCTACCAGAGACGGCTGGGGAAGCCGCGCAAGCCGAATGATATCTATATCATAGAATGACGAGTATGGAATTTGTCTTCGTCAACGTTCAGAAGCCAAGTGACGCCCTTCAGCTCGCCAAAGCACCCGAGGTCCGATCTCACGTGACGCGTTATCAATGGAAGCAATCTGCGCGTCGAGACAAGCGAACCCGAAGGATCTTGCTAGGTGTTGCACAGGATGTGAATGGAGCTGGATTTCAAAACGGCCTCCGGCTCGATTCTTTTAAACCGGAACCACCGTCGATATTGCCTCAAATAGGCGGACTCCGAGTTGACCCTTTCCAGTCATATCCTATCTCGGGTCAACCGTGGACTCCGCTGCTGGTCGATCACTGTAAGTTACTTTTTGAACTTGATTTAAACAAGGTGGACTTTGTTAATATGGTAAGACTTGATACACATGGCAGTTGATATTCCCGAGCTTGACCTACCTGGAAACCACGGCCTCTTGAGGACCACTTGGTTTCCATTGGTGATGACCGAGCCCGCTTTATTCTCTGTCATTCTTCTTCTTGCTGCATCGCATTATGCCTCCCTACAGGTCGATCCTAGCAGTATGAAAATCGATCTCCTCGGTTTTCGTTATACAGCTGTACTATCCATCAATCGCAGTCTTGATGCTCGGCAGCCCGAGAATGTACATGACGCTTTGATAGGAGCCATAGCAAAGATGGCAAGCTATGAGGCCATGTTCGGCAGTCTCGAGAATTATAATATCCACATGCAGGGTCTCGCACGACTCATTAGTTTACGAGGGGGTCTTACTTCACTAGGCTTGAATGGCTTGCTCCAGCGGATGGTGCTTTGGATCGACTGTAATGCCGCTTTCTTACATGGATCGGCAATGTATTTCCTTATGGATACCTCTGTGCCGGGTGAATCTCCGCCATACCCGAATCCTGGTCAATTCCTCGGGAGCTCGTGATACCCAGCAGAGTCTAAATCATTTCATTGAACCAATCAAAACCCCGCATATCCATCGGTATGATGTCATGATCTCATCTATCATATATAGTTCATGCATTTCCTAAATAGGATATCACATCTAAAGCCCGCCCCACATCTCTTGGTGGATATGCCCCACAGATTTCCGATTTCAGATAACACATACTAATGCGGGATCTGGGACATATGTACTGTATACTACATCATAGGTCCAGTCGCTGAACATATAAGGAATGAACACCTCACGGGGAAAGATCAAATCTCTATCAATCGGCATTACTCCCCCAGCTACTCCCTATCTTCACCACAAAAATGGCTCTCACTGGTAAAGTCGCCCTTATCACCGGCGGTGTCAAGAATCTTGGAGCTGCAAGTGCCCTTGAACTAGCTAGTGTCGGCGCCAATCTTGCTCTTCACTACCATTCGTCCAGTGGCGAAAAGGATGCAGCTGCGCTCAAAGCCACACTCCAGGAAAAGAACCCTTCGATCAAGGTTTCCTTCTACCAGGGTGATCTCACCTCTGCAGCTGCAGTGACAAAATTGTTTGAAGATGTTATTCGTGACTTTGGCCATGTCGATATTGTGGTCAACACAGTCGGGAAGGTGCTGAAGAAGCCTATCACGGAAATCAGCGAGGACGAATATGACACAATGTTCGCGTAAGTCTTTGGAGAAGAACATCACGAGCTCTCTGGGCATGGTTGACAAGACTTTTTTTCTAGGGTGAACTCCAAAACTGCGTTCTTCGTCCTAAAGGAAGCCGCTGCTCATGTGACCGATGGTGGAAAGATCATCAGCATTGTCACTGCGCTCCTAGGAGCGTTTACTGGCTACTATACTTCTTACGCCGGCAGCAAAGCTCCTGTCGAGCACTTTACTCGGTATTTTGCCAGTCTAGTGTCCATTCAGGTCCTTGGCTAACATCTATCATAGGGGTGTTTGCAAGGAGCTTCAGTCTCGCAGGATCAGTGTGAACAATGTCGCCCCGGGACCAATGGATACACGTGAGTTTACTACTACAAATAATCAAGGGATACGTTTCGTTCAAACGATCTAACGAGATGTTACCAACAGCTTTCTTCTATCCCCAGGAATCTCCAGAAGCTGTGGAATTCCACAAAGCAAATGGCATGGGCAACCGTCTTACCATGGTAGAGGACATTGCTCCTATCATTCGCTTCCTCTGTACTGATGGTGCGTGGATTACCGGCCAGACCATTTTCGCCAATGGTGGATATACTACTCGTTGATTGAGTCTTTAAATTCTCATGGCAAGGCTCCTGGTAGATCGAATTACAATTGAATGGGGTTGGGGAGGGGGCACAGCCCTATTGTATTTTCTTCCCTTCCAAGCTTCTCTCGATCATATAATGCAAAGGGAGAATGTTTGTTGAATAGAAAGCCTCATTATTTCTTCACTGATGATAAATTATAATATGATATTTTAAAAATGTTCCTGTGTAGTGAATACGCGCGGGGCCGTATAGTAACGAATAAGTGGAGGACTGTTTTCTATGGTACGAGTAGTAGGATACTAGACTAAAGAGTAAAATGAGTATAATTATTAGGCCTTGATAGGTGCTGTAGTACCTGGGGAATTTTGGTACTATTATCCGGTGCTGCGGCACCTAGTACTACAGTACGGAGGTCCATCCCAAAAGTTCTTGTCTCACTCATTTTCACGCTAATATAAAACTAGTCCTAGTGGCGGAGAGGAGATCATGTGACCGGGTGCTCTCTCTACTGGGTCGAAAAAAATAGAAATCTAGTTGGTAAAAAAGTATTCGCTAAGAAACGGTAGAAAAGATCCAGCCGGTAGAAAAAAACTATCTATCTTAACCATATAAAGGACATGCCTGGGCGCATGTCTCTTCCGCTTGGCCAAAAGACCATTATGTCAGCCCTTGCGCTAATATTATTAGAACCTGTCAGGACCCTAGTACAAAGAAGGCTGATACCTGAAGTATTTGTCAGGACCCCAGTACTGAGAAGGCTGATACCTGAAGTATTTGACAGAAAAACGGTAGTAAGGCGAATGTATATATGGTAGAAAAATCTCAATCAATTCTCTAATTCTCTAAAAATGATAATAGTCCGGAAAACATGACAATCTGATAGACAACTTAGTAATCAAATAAACAAAATAAAATGAAAGGATGTTTTTTGGGCAGAAAACCTTCTAAGTTCGTTTTTCTATAGAAAAACCAGCCTGGTTAGTTATATGACCTAACTATATTAGGGATAAAAAATAATAGTATTTATCCTAGATTCTAATATACCCCCTAGCTTTTAAAGCGATTATAATTTAGAGCTTTAAGAGCTATCTTAATTAATAAAATTCTCTTTATCTAATTAGTTATAAAAGTAATTCCCTAAACTATTCTTATTTCTAATTGCGGAGCGAAGCGAAGCAATTAAAAAAAATAACCCTCTCCCCCCCCCCTGGGAAGGGGTCCCCCGGAAGGGCCCCCGGAGGGAACGCCTCGAAAGGAGATCATGTGACCAGGCGCTCTCTCT